TCAACATGTATAGCTGACATGTACAACAACCCATTGATTCAGGCCAGTTCTTCTTGCTAAATGCAGCAGAAGAATACTGATAACAGTTAACTTGTCATCCATTAGCTTTTAGCATTCAATTTTCCAGTCAAGGAAAAACTGCAGCGATAGGATGCACCTAAAATTTAACCACAAAAGCAAAAGTAATTATATATCTATGCCAGGCTACTCTTTTATAGTGTATTCTTTAATGCACTCCATCAAGTCATTACCTGCTAAGTAAATGACTGAGTGAGCATTTGGCGATAATGCTGCTATATAATGAAATTGTCTAAAAGGGCTTGAAGCTCTTACCAAAGGTGTCGCACTGCTCTCAATACTGTTTGGTTTCAGAAGGCAAACAGTTTGTATTTACAAGTGTTTATGGGGACAGATTGTATTATTATTATTATTATATGATACTTTTGTTCTGGGAGCAATGTATGGGAACTGTATAAAAATGGATGGATTTTTATGTGTAGCCATGTAGAGTGGGGGTAATCAAAAGGGGTATTTACTCTTGCTGTATGGACAACCGTGATTGGTCCATGATGAGGTGTTCACAGAATGGGGAGGCACTTACTCCATCAGTTTTTGCCACATTGAGTTAGCTGAAGTACTCAAGATCTTTTGAATACATAGATACATGCATGGAAATGTACTGGGCTTTCTTTTTCCAAAACCAAATTGCTGACAAGACAGGAAATGCATCTATTTCTTTAAGGTAAGAATATCAGTTGATTTTAGAAATATTGTATATACATGTAATAAGGACTAGATAGGCAGACTGACTGGCAGACAGGCAGTCAGGTTAGAAGGTGAGAGAGGCAGGCAAACATACAGAGAGAGAGAGAGAGAGAGAGAGAGAGAGGTGGGGGGTAAAAAAGAAGAACGATAAAAATGTGAAAAAGAAAAAGATTACAAACTCCATTTTATTGTGAAAAGAAGAAAAATTACAAACAACCTTTAATTATGAAGGAGAAAGATCACAAACTCCCTTTGATTCACTATGAATCTTTTGGCCAAGTGTCAATGTGAAAAAATAATGACATGGAAATAAAGGTGTGTTTTTATCTAAATTTAGCCGTCATTGATTTTAAACTGGAAATATAAAACTGTTACATGAAAAAAGAGAGGATATGAATGGCAGCGCAACAATCTTACCAGTGTTTCTGTGTGTAAGGTCCACTGCTGTGATATGGGGTATACAACAGGTACCATAGTAGTCTGTCAATTATAACACCTTCAATCATTACCTTGAGACCTCTAACAAATATGTATCAGTAACTCGGATGGAAAGACTGTTGCTTTGATGTTTTAGTCAGCGTGAAATCAGAGAAGACATAAAAGAATTGTCTACCTGGGGCTGAGACAGGAAGTTTCTGACATCAGTTTGTATTGAGATATCAAACAGGTTGAAATTAAATCTGTTGGTCCCATCATTTAACAAGTCACGGTCTGTGTTACAGGGGTGTGACTGAGATTTATTTATTTAGAATGGGATTTTTGTGTGTGTTTGAGACTTTTTCCCTGGGTTTGAATCACAGACTGTCCCCAATGGTGATGGTCCTGGAGCAGAGAGGTCTCAACCCCTTGGCGTCAACAAGACAAAAAAGAACAACACTCTGCCACCTTTAGGTGACATAATTATTGTACTGTGTCTACGGAGGATATTGTTCCTCGGGTTTGAGACCAGATCAAATTCACAGCAGTGTCTCCAGCGAGAGGTGTGAAAATAGCGCCCAATTCTTCCCTTCTGTGAATGTGTTTTAACAGAAAACAGCACTGGCACAAAACCCCCATAATGGGTCCAGTAGAAAATCAACTAAATATTTTGTGGAGTTTGGTAACAGGCAATCCATTTGCATTATTATCAACAAATTGTGTTGTGCCTAGAGGCGGTCAGCTGTGTATTTAGGCTAGATCAAGTTCTTAGCACTTCAATCTTAACATGGGTATTAGGAAGAAATAAATTGATTGATTTCAAAAGGTCTGTATTACTGCAGTTTAAGCTGGAGGCAAATGGCATCTAGAGTTGAGATATGGCCACTCTAGAGGGGGAAGGGGCAGACTTTATTTAGTCTGGTAGAATTGCACAATTACTAATGAGGATCTTAGCCCCAAGCTTTGGGACACAAGTCTTGTGTTGTAGTTTTTTCCTTTTGTTGTCTCTATTTTTATCCCAAGTGCAGAAGTTAATTAGAGTCTTGGGTATTTTTTTCTTTAGGATTGGCAGGACATGTTTTTGGCAATGTTCTAATTAACTTCTTCCATACTTACACATTTTAAGATCCAGAAACAATAAAAATGTACTTGTTCTCACATTTAATTCTATTTTGAATTAGAAAATTTGACACTGGTGTAGGTGGCATAACAAAAAGCACTCCCACATCAATTATTTAAGGGTTCCAGGTAGTCCAAAAGTCTTTATCATTGTATATTCAATGTAATGGGAAAACAATTCTTCAGTAATTTAGATATTAACCCAACACAAGAATCTTAAATACACCACCATATCTTTGAAGTTGAGGCAATAAATAATCTTTATAAGTACATTGTCAGAGTGCTATCTTAGTAATGTAGAAAATGAATAATTGGGGGTGTAATAAGTCTATTATGGAAAAATATATCCTACATTTCTCTTTATATTAGGAGTCTTGGAGTCTTTTGAAGTTGTTTGTGGATGAGCATAAAACATAATTGAAAGTAATTTTCATCTCTTTTAAATCTGATGTTTGCATGACTAATTTATTGTCTTTATATCACTGAGAAAAAAATGGTAGATTACTGAAATATGAAAGAGAACTTAATATTCTGTTGGCATTAAATAAGATCAAAATAAGATGTATAGGCAACTTGGCGCCTCATCTTACTAGCAGTAAAATACATCACTGAGCATGTAAATTAATTAACAATGCATTTAGGTATGTGGCATGAAATTTCTATTATGCTTTCCTTTGATTTTGTCAAACCCATAATGGGCGGTGCTTTCATCCTACCTTGCTTTACATCTATCTCACATAAACCATGAAGCATTTTCATATTTTAATAGTCTCGCACTGCTTTGGTGTTAGAGTTGCGGTGAGGCGCTATACACATTATTGACAGAAGGATGAGGAGTATGTTGTCTGTTGGTACGCCTTGATGAGAAAATGGATCATTTATGCCCTGAGATGTGAAGAAAAGTCATAAATATAGGCCTTAAAAAGTAGCTGCCAGTTTGGTCTCTGGTGACCCACTGGTGATGGTTGAAAGAAAGATGCTGTAGGTGAGCTGGCCAGACTGCAGGGATTGATTTTTGAGGTATATTCTGCATCATTAGACTGATAGAAATCTTTAACAGAAAAAAATTCCAAAATTTCGTTCATTGAGTCTTTTACCTATACTCTGTATGTCCTGGGATATTCAAGATTCTGGAATAATTGGAAAATTATTAATTTGGCTCATATTTTAAGTCAAGTTTTCATGAGATGAGAAAGTGCTTAATTTTGTGAATGTATTAGGTAAGTTAATATAGATTCATTAAGTACTTAAAGTGACTTATAAATTATACCCGACTTATTTTCAAATGGTAGGTAGTCTCTTAGCACAGTTACATAGTTTTACCTTGGAGTATGTTGCTGTGAAGATTTTCCTGTAGGTTCATTGATTTGTTTATATTAGCATTTGGTTCTTCAAAATGCTTCCAGTTTTGACATATGAAATGTTTTATTATTTTTTTTTTATGATCACTGAAAAGATATATTGTTTTATAACAAGTAATATTAGCTACCAGTCTAGAAGTCAATATTGACAGTTACACAATGGAGAGTACCTTTTAAATCTTTATTTAATGAAATAATAGTGCATTTGATTTTTATAGTCCTTTGTGTTATGTACATGTATACTACAACAAGATATAATGCATAATTGTGACAGCTTTATTGCAGTCATCTATTGAAATATCTGCATTTTAAGTTTAGTATTTAGAAAATGAACAGATGGAGGATGCTGTAAACGGTGTTAATTGACCAGCTCCTAATTTATGAATGAGTTGCAATTGAATTATAGTGCAATTTCACTTTTATTTTCATTGCATGGATTGGTTTGACTTTGTGTTAAATTGTTACTGCTGTCAGCTTTTATTTAACAACTTTCATGACAACTCATTTAACTGTGTGAAAGTTTTACTCGTAAGTTGTTTGAAGAAACATGCACAACCTGTTCATATTCAGATAAGTGTTCTACTGTGTTATATGTACATGGTTTTGAAGTGAGGAAAGGACTGTGTCATTTTAGGTGGAAGGGGACATCCAGTATTGAGGTAAATTATGATGATGCATAACAACATTGTTTGTCTGATTTGTGTATGTCTGATACAAAAAGAGGGGTTTGGGGACAAGTTTAAAAGTTTGTTTTACAATTCCAGGTTATCTACCAGTATAAACTTATCAATAACAGAATATCATCAGGAAAATTGTTTTTAGTATTCAGTACATATTGCTGAGTGATTTCACATAGAAATTCATGTATCTGTCTTTTACACACAGTTATTATAAAAAAAATGAAAATACATATTTTTTAGTTGATTTACAAAATGTACATAAAATGAAATTAAGATAGCAATCAGCATACTATTTTAAGAATGCCAATTTCTCCTAATATTTGGAATTAATTGCATTTTAACACAAGCTCTTCCTCCCAATATTTGCTACATGTATAAATGCTATACAGTACCTCATTATCACTGGAGATATTGCTTGTTTGTTATTAAGTTGATGGGCAGTTGTGAACTCCCTTGTCTGTTATCGGTTTCCATGCTATCATTATGCACAATATTGTCTGGAATCCTTTTATCTGTTTGGGTTATTTGACAGTCATTTTCTATCTCATCTGTATGTATATTATCTTGATTCAGCTGAAGTGGCAGAAAGCCGTCTTCCTGATATCTCCATCACCCCTCATAATTACACTATTTGTGTGGTCTATCTGGTCCCTCATTTTCAATAGCTCTGTATCTTTGTTGTCCACTTAGATTGCTATTTACCTGCCAAGGAGACCATTCATTGATACAAACCAGAATCTGTGACTGCAGTCATCTTTAGATAACTTGCCCACAATCTGAGTAATATTTTTGAGGTCTTTCATAGATACAAATTAAGCTAATGGGATAAAATCATATCCAGCTGACACTTTAAATGGTTTAGGTTGGCCAGTTATTGGTTCTGCTACCTGGGGAAAAGAGACATATTACATAACAGACATAACAGGTTAATTACTGCAGCCCAGGTAAGAGGAGAGGATAGGGGACCATTGAGTGAGTCAAGTGTGAGGACACACAGAGGTTTCTCAGTACAGCTTTGGTATCGAGTGCAGTGACTGAGATTTTCTTGCAGCCACTTTAATTTATTGAGGATATCTGGAGAATTGCATGATATGAATTAAGGAAAAGGGGAGCGACAACTAGAGACAGACAACCATATGTTCTGGTCTCCAAAGACATCTTCTTGATTAACTCCACAACCACTTAATACTGAACCACAGTCCCTCATAGACCTGGTCTTGATCTGCTTTGTGGTGGGTACCAGGGAGGAAACCAGAGAAAAGAGATACACAGGATATGTTTGGACACATGGGTTTAAAGTGGTAAACTAGACAAAAGAGCTTCTATTGTGTCAATTATCTACTGCATTAGTGAGATACTGCAATGTTTGGCTCGATGGACTGGATACTGTGCTGTGGGAGCACCAAGTTCTGTGTGTGTACTGTGTGTTGAAATCAGGTGCCAGTGATAAAGATAGTAAAATATCTTGGTAATTCACAAACACTGGCTTGTTTGGTAAACCAGTGCTGGTCACTACAAGTGTGAATACTATAACCACCTGTTTTAGTTGTTTGAAAAGAATTCTGTTGTACACTATGATTGAACACAGTGACATGAGCAGTAGAAGGCATTCTAGGCGGAGGTCCTCCAGAAATCTCCACAACAATAACTCCAGGGACAAGGTAGGATTGTAGTGAACAGGTTAACAGAAACAGTTTAAAAAATAATGTCATAATGAGATTCATTCACTCATTCATACCATTATATAAATCCTAAATCTAAATTCTTGCATCCAGCAAAATGAGTCTGCCAAGAATGATTATTGACAGTTATGAAAAATGGGATAAATAAGATTACACATAGAAAGATTACATGTCTATGTTTTTGAGAATGAACAGATCCAGAAGCTGAAATTCATAAACTTAAATATTTGTTAGTCATAGGGTGCATGTTTAGGAAATATTTGACTTCCAAATGTGGTAGACAAACAAACAGGTGCTGTAGGGTGTCAGCGAATATCACAGTGTGTGGTGGCTGAAATGTCACTCATTGGGCACAAACTAATAAGGTGTTGAACCAACCTTGTAAGACAACTGTTGAAAGTTCTATTTTCCCTTGGGGTCTTCAAAAACCTATCAGTAGCACAGCAGTCAAAATACTTGATAGTCAGACAACCTCGGCTTGATCTGAAACATCTGGACTGCTAAGTTCTTGATGAAGTATCGGAAGATGCCAAATGAATAATGGAGCGTGTAGTTGTTGAAATTTTGTTTTATTTTAATTGTATGGACTAATATGGGTAATAACACAGAATTTCATTTAATAATGAAATATTTTAAGATGCAATTATTGCTCTGTCTGGAGCAATCTTAGTGTAGGATAGACTGACTTATGCTCCCCCTGGAACGCAATAGCACACCCTTTAACCAAATGACCAAAAGGCAGAGCAATAAAGTACCAGAGAGAGGGCCATACTAAAGCTAGGGTGAATTTAGCAATGCACTAACAGTACTGATATATGTCCCACAGACATCTTTTTGTACAAAGGTAAGGGTTCAGGTTTAGTTGCTGTTTCATTTGGAAAAATAGATAAAGTAGGGGTGGTTGTGGAATGAAAGAAGGTAAGAGAATGCATAAACCCCTAAGAAAATAAGGATGATAAGCTAAAACCTGTTGTGTTATCACAAGTGTCAGATTGATTGGATATGTACTGTTTAGCACCTATTTCTAATCCATGGACTGTATATATTGCCAATCACCTTTGTGTTTATGTGAATATTTTATCTCTAATATGTTAATTATCTAAATATTACCATAAACTTTGCAATAATGTGCTCTTTGTTCTTTAGCATAAGGATTCATAATTCTCTCACTAATCTGCCCCTGAAGGGGTTATTAGCAGGGATAAAGGTGTATTTATTTAGGGTAGCTTGAGTCAGCTTTGAACCTTAGAAAAACGCAATCTTGCCAATTTTATCATACGAGTCACAACTTGAAGTAACACAGTCAACAAGTTAAGACATGATGTTATTACCTGTATTACAACTTGTTTCATATCATCCAGCACCTAATTCAGTACCACTTGGAATGTAGCTTATGCTTGATGCGTAGCAGTTTAAAAATAGTCAAAGTGTGTTATAAAAGAGAGGAGTGCTTCTGAAAAATTTGGACATGTTTTAGATTAAACTTTCTGCAAGTTTTTTTGTACATCCCTGTCCAAGAAAAATATATTTTTTGAGTGCAGCTGCAGAGGGAAATTGTGTTTTCAGTTTACCCATTGTCTTTGAGGTTACCTCACAGTAGCTTTCAATTTACATTAGATAGATGAATGATAGTCAGAAAATTTGGCAAGAGATTAGGTTTCAATTTAGCCAGAACATACATGGGGATTGGGCGCACATTAAGCAGTCAATCTGTGGATCTTAATTTGCCTTATTTCAAAGGAAAAATAGATGACTAAAAGATATATCTGGTAAGTTTTATGGATATGATATTCTTTCAGGACTGCTCCCATTTTTTCATTATTTCGAAATAGGGAGAGCATGATACATTGGGGAGGATATCTAGATGACATACAAATTAACTGATAGCTTGGAGTGTTTTCAGCACATGTCAAACTGCATTTTCATACAGGGTGCCACTAGAGGCTTTATCAAAATAGAAAAATAATGGGATTGCTTTCTTAGTGTGTGTCCGTACTGTCCTGCTACCAGGCCTTGGTTAACCCCTGTTGACAGAAATGCTCTTGTGTTAGCCCTAAGGAAAAGACTGGTGGGATAAGATTCTCATTTTCCATTTCTGTATTTTAGCTACACACTTTTCTTGTTTTCCTGTTTGCCTTTATAGGATTCCCCCATCATTTTCCTTCATGTTTTTGTCCACATTTGACTATTTTTTAAAGGTCAAGAGATATGCATTAGATGAATCTTAGGCTATATTGAAAACAATTTAGAAATAGAAAACTCCACATTAGAGAAAATAGTAAAGAAACAAAATCACCTTGAAAAGGCAGCAGTGGTATTTTTTATGTTCCAATGTAATCTAAGATTGCTGTTTGTCACCATTAAAGTTAAGTGGTTCAGTAGTGGTTTTATTGGTTCATTGGTAGTGCTTTACATGGCATTTCTGCCCCTGTCCATAAGGCATAAGTTTGAAAGAGAAGTAACATTTTAAATTCTCTGGAGACTCTTGGATGCTTCATGTTCAACAGTCTGTTAGTTTTAGTACACAGGGTGATGTATGGGCTTCATGGATTTCTATCAAATGAGATTGTCTTTTAATTTGTAGAATTGAAGCCAAAAGATGTGTTTGGTCACTTTCAATATATTTTGTAGTCATCAACAGAAAATTAAGGATTAAGTGCTTGCTACTGGAATGTGAGTGGACTTGAATAGAATGAAAATGTGTTTTTATCACCCCATTAAGCATGGCATTGTCTGAAAATGTGGATGAAAACAGCAAAGTGCTTATTTTAGAAATACCAGTCTGAATGATAAAAAACCCAGCCAAATACTTTTTATAGATAGGGCATTCAATTTATTGGAATGGGAAAAAAAGAAGGATATTGGAAGGGTCTGAGGTAGTCTGAGCATAGCTGAAATGACAGAACTCAGTTTGAAATGTCAGTGTGGAGTGTTAGGCTTTGATCAGCAGTGTACAGATCAGCAAGTTTTCTACTCTGCTGCTCAAAATCATCATGCACTTGGATAACTCAAACTGCTTCTATTTTATGCTTCTCTCGTTCTCCCAGAAGTTGCAATTTCTAAGCATGGTTCAGAAACGACCATGAAAGACAATCTACCATCGGTCTAGATCTGATTTGATAAAATAAATTCTATATCTCTAGGACTGTGACAAAATTATGTCTAAAATTACTACTCTTGGAAAAATTGACTTATTTCCATTTTATGATTTTCTGGTTTTCTCACATATGAAAATTTCTAGGTGCAGTTGGTAAAATAATCTCATTATGGAGAAATAACTGTGGTCATGCTAGATCAAACTTTATTAAGTGAAATAAGTGGGCACCGGTGTGATAGTGGTAGTTTGATGCACACTTTTTACCTTTGCCATTTAGCTTGTCATATTATCATACAGATAAATACCTTTGGACTGGGGTTGTGGTCTGCACTGACTAGTTCCCAATTTACACCATTGGCTTTGGTCATCTCCTGCTACTTTATGGATCAGATGTTTTCATCAGTTATCCATAGATTGAATTAAATGTCAGGCAGTCATTAAATGAGGTGCTGATTCTTCATAACTTTGTTTTTCTAATTCAGACTGATAACTGGACAGATGGGCGGGTATTTGATGGGGCAGCCTGTCTCTTGCAATTGCTTTGGTTGAGATTTGGGTGCAATTAGAGCATCATCTCATAAAGATGTGAAAAATCTGAACAACATTGTGTTTAGATGGTTGCATTGTGCCTATCACTAACTTGAGTTTGCTAAGTGCATGTCTGCATACACGCTTTTTTATGTACATTCATACATTATATTTATAAACAGCTAAAATTGTAACAAGCACTTAGCCAAAGCACTTGTTCTGTACAACTGAGCACATACAAAAGCAATTTGACCCTCTGCCCAATTGAGGAAATCAAGAAATTGCAATATGGTATTTTGAAGGATATTTTTGTAAGATCAGGAAAATTGTTTGCCAGTAATTCATCAAAACTTGGGGAAATGCTTGTATAATGGTTCACAGATCTAAAGGGATAGTTTCTATCATGAATAAGCCAAGACATGAAAGGAAAGTGAAATCATTTTGGTCTTTGAGGGTGTAGTATTACCAAGTGAGAATAGAGTCAGAACAAGTAGTAAATCATGCCACAGTTCTTTTCAATGCTATTACTGGGCCTGTTCAAAGTTGTGTGAAATCCAAACGGATCAGAATATGCGATCATGAAAGGGATTTCTCTTACTGTAAAAAAAGAACTCATAAAACCTCTATTCACTTTGTCTAAACCTCAAAATATGTGTACAACATGCTTGGTTTGTGGAATGAAATTTTTTGCATTCTCGGCTAGATACATGATCATCCTCGTTTGGCCACAAGATAGTTGAAAAGGTAGTTTTGAGACGTTTGCGCTGCGCTGCAGGCCATGTTGACTTCTCATCAGTAGGCTTCTACTTTTCATTAAGACTCTTTGCTAGAGTGAGGCCCCATAGTTACACTCCATTCCCTTAACTTATCATTTCTCATTTGTTGAACACCATGGAAGATGTAGAAATGCACACGTTCATGAACAGGTGTGGTGTGTTAGGATGATCTCGCTGTCTGCATGGGTTACTTTTTGATCTTTTGAAGGGTTTTCAGTACTCTTTCTTCCTGTCTCAGTAGAGAGAAATATACTGTTTTAACTTAGTAGCACAGCACTGTCAAAAACCAAAAAGACCATCGCGTTCACACACATTATCTACATTGTGCTTTGACCAAGTACTCTTCTTATAAATCTCTAATATTTGTATTTTTGTTATAAATTTTATATGTTATAGATTTTCATGTGTAATGAAGTATATTTTGTGTTATTTTTTAGCATTCAGGTACACTGAAAGGAAGAAGTTTGTTTCATCTTGTATTGCTTTGTTTATGGAGATAATATTAGTTATATCTTTGTTTTTCAGGAGCCTGACATAGTTTATTTGCTGTTTTCTTGCAACTGGAATTAATTATTGGTTTATACTCTGTTTTTGTGGGACCCAGACCTAATTAATGCTTTATACTCTTTTTTTAGGACCCAGATTTAGTTGGGCGTATCCAAGATCGACTGTTTATCCCTGACAACTGCAGACGTGCCCTGGTCAGCGACCGGTGTCAGGTGTGTGAGACCCATGTGGGACAACTGAAGCAAGAAGTGGTCAGCATGGTGCAGTCATTTGAGCGTGCTCAGTCCCAAGATGCTGCCTCGTCAGCCCCAGGTGGCAGTTCAACCTCTGCCTCAGCCCCTGCCCCTGTGGCTAGAACTGCCAAGGTACCCACAGTGTTAAGGTTGCCTTCTTCAGGAACTCCAAGCGGTCATCACAGGTATAAAATAATCTTTAATAAGTTTCATTTCATTTCATGAAGTGCTTATGTAAAAATTTTAAAGTAAGTGTGGTAGAAACATTGATTTGGTTTAGAGAATAGACGTCATAATAGATGTATTTTACACACAGGTTTATTTATTAAAAGTTTACTAGTATCTAAGTTGTTAAAGAATATTAACTCATGCTCAATCTTCCTCTATTTTTT